GGCCGGTGGCCCCGGGCCCGTGGGCTGCTCTCTCCCAGCGACCCGGAACGGCCCCACCGCCCCGCGCAGGCCTCCCGGGTACCCCGCCCGCCGGGCCCGCAAGGCTGCCGGGCGTGAATGGCGCCGGAACTCACCGAGATAGATGTCTCCGAAGGAGCCGCTGCCGATCTTGCGTCCCAGCCGGTCCCTGTTCCCGACCCTCAGCTCCATGGCTGCGGAGCGGCTCGCTCCTGCCCGCCCGGCCGCTTCCTGGGTCTGCGCTCCGGGAGGTGGCGCCGCTACTGCCGCTACTGCGGGTACGGTCCGGCTCCGCCCCCCTCACGGCCCGGCTTTCACCATCGCTTTCCGGTCGCCCCGTTGCTCCCAGCGCCTCAATACGGGGCGGATGGGACAGTGCGAGCGCCGCCGCTGCTGCTCAGGCCCGTACCGGCCCGGCTCGCCCTCTCCCCGCCGCGGATGACCTCGGATCTCCAGGGCCTAAATTCCCCTTCAGCTGCCCAAAGGAGCAGCCGCCATCGCGCTGTTACGTCACTTCCCCTAGCAACCCAGCGGGGCGGGGCCTCAGTATCCGAGGGCGGGGCCTTGCTGCTTCTGCGCAGCCAAAGCTGAGGCCTGCTTGTCGGTCTCACCTTGGTGGGCCCAGCTCCACTCCCCCATGTGCAGACAACTGGTCGCCCTGGGCTTTCCATTGCACACAGAAGTTGGAGGGAGCCAAGCCTGGCGTGGTAGTGAATGCCTGTAATCCCAGAACTTGGGAGGATGAGCCAGGAGGGTTCAAAGCCAGCCTGGGCTACATACACAGAGACCCTGTCTTGAACAGGGAGCTGAGGGTGTGACCTCTTCCAGGCCCAGGATTCTGCTGGCCTCTCCTATTTATTCTCTTAATTGCTCAGGACAGTCAGCTGACGACACAGTGACCAAAGTTCTTGCTCAGTTTTATTTGATGGTCAGGAGGAGGCAGTGCCTAGGTGAGGCCCAGGCAGGAGCAATGCTGCTGTTTCTGATGGCACAGCTTCTGCAGAAGACTCAGGTTTGGTCCTCAGCACCCACATCAGGGGGTTTACAATTGCCTGCAACTCCAGTTCCAGGGAATCTGACAGCCTGTGGGTCTTTAGCCTCCGTGGGCACACACATATACCTGGTGCACAAAACTCATTCAGGCACACACATAACATGAATTTTATTATTATGTAACATGTATGAGTGTATTGCTTGCATGTAGGTAGGTGCACCTGTGTCGTGCAGTGTCAGAGGAGGTCAGAAGGTGTCAGATCTGAAGCCCAAGTCCTCTCCATGTTCATGTACCACCCTCTTACTACTCTGCTATAGACTTGTTATAGTCGAGTATCAGGACCACAAACCC